TCGCAGCTGGGATGTGCAGTTTGTTCCAGAGTTTCGTGTCAAGGCAGCCAAGTTTTCTTTCCTTGCGCGTTGGAAGCAGAACTGTGGTTGGTTGCTTTCTGTCCCAAGTGTTTCAAGCAGTGCCAGCTCTGTTCTTGGTAGCCAAGCAGCACCCCAGATTTTCGCTTTGGTACAGAAGCCGAAGACCATTTTCGTGACCACGCCTCCATGTCACACGTTCAGCCGTGCGCGCCATCGCAAGCCCGGGCCGCCGCCCTTAAGGAGCGTAGACTGGCCGAAAGGCTTCCCTTGGTTGAGCGAGAAGCATTACCAAGAAGTTGAGGCCTCTAATTATTTCATTTCGCAGAGTGTGCAAGCTTCCTACTTGGCGCATTCCGTTGGCAACCCTTACCTCTGGGAGCACCCAGAGGACCTGAGAAAGGCAGCAGATGACCTCATACCTGCTACCATTTGGCAATGGGCAGAGATCCTGGATCTCCTCTTGGCCACAGGCGCCCAGTCTTTTGCGTTTTATCTGTGCCAGTTTGACGCCCCATACCCCAAGCCGACAAGAATCCTGACTACTTTGTCTCATTTCGTGACGCGCAAGCAGCCGTACAGGCATGCCAGCATTCACACAGACAGGTGCTTATGTGGGAGCAATCACGACCCTCTCATTGGTAAAGATCCAACTACAGGCGCCTGGAAGATAGCCCCAGCAGCCAGTTACCCTCCGGCAATGTGCAAATGGTTGGCAGAGGCTATCGTCGCCTCCTTTCACGACTTTTAACAGCATTAGGCGGACTGCCCTGGATCCTTCACTGCAAGCAAAGGGGAGAGATGGCTCAGACCCAGACGTGAAAACAGCAACAACTCAAGGGTCCGCTCTCCCACCTTTTCCTACTTCAGGTTTAGTCCCGGACCCTGAGGTTCCCTCTTCCCTTAGTTCAGGTTTAGTCTCCGCCCCTAAGGTTACAGCTGGGAGAACCGCTGCTCTCGCGCAGCCGACAGCACACCCTTTTTCTCCGCCTTTCCCTAGTTCGGGTTTAGACTCAGCCCCTAGTTGCCCCGGGGTTTTAGCCCCCGCGACGCATTCTTCAACACCCTTTTCAGGTTTAGACACCATTGCTCTTAGGGTTCCAGCAGTGTTTAGTCAGCCTGCTTCCCACCCTAGTTCAGGTTTAGGTCCTAATGCCCCCAGGGTCAATTCAGAGCGTCCTCCACGGGCCGGACAAGGCCCGACCACCGGAGAGGCAGGCGCCCAGGTTTCGGATGCGCCTGAGGTGCTCGCAGAGGAACTCCTTAAGAACCCGAGCTGTGCAAGGGCGGAAGTGGAGAGACTGTTCGACATGCTTCCCAAAGAAGTTCGTTCTAGGAGAGAAGAAGGCGAGGCGGAGGGCTCTTCCTTTTCGACAGGCTGCTACTCAAAAGGAGGGATTACAGGCCTGAGACACAACACGACGGCCTACCCCATGGCCACTAAGCTGCTCGTCCGTTTCGCTTGCCAGACTTTTCAGTCCATGCGCTTCACGACCCTGTCCTTGTTTGATGGAGTCAAGACTCCAATGCATCGGGATTCTCGCAATGGACCATATTCAAATGGGGTCTGCCCGATAAGTGATTTCAGTGGAGGACATATCTGGGTGGAGGAAGAAGGTGGCCCTGTAGAGATGGAGACGCCGAAGGGCAGGCCTTCAGGGAGGCTACTTGAAGTCTCGGGTGGCCCCGTCGTTTTGGATGCGTGGGAACGCTTCCACTGCAATCTGCTCTGGCGAGGACGCAGGCTTGTGATAGTTGCATACGTGGTGGCTGGCCTCGAAAGATTGTCGGCTGACCATGGCGAGGCGCTTTCAGGCTTAGGGTTCCGTTTGCCTGATCCCGGGCCTTCAGGAGGGAGATGAAACTTCAGAGGTCCACCTCTCAGAATCTGTCAAGCCTGTTGCAGTTCCTTTCAAGCCGGAACTCTGCGGGAACCGTGGTACACCGATAAGCGTGGAATGGGAGCACAAGGTGACACCCATTACGGACGGCTTCGGGTCGTGCTCCCCAACCAGGTGGGCGCCTTGCGACAGAGGCCATTCACTAGGTCAGAAGGCACAGGCGCTCGCAGCTAGGATGCACAAATTAGCTTTAGACTTTGTCAGGCAGCACGTGACTGACCCCGAGCATCTATGCCATGCCTTGCTCTTGGGTAAGCCCTTTTAGTGAGGAGCGTCTGCAGAGCATCAGATCCCAATGGGTCGGAGCCTTGGGGAACCAAGGCGACAGCAGTCTGCCAACCTTTTTTGTTGAGGGCGCTGTCCCGCACGGCGGAAATTCTTGAAGACCCGGATTGGAAAATTCTGACCGAGGGCCAGGACTGTTTCTTAAATGGAGTTCCGGTCGGGTTTGGTGAGACCATCAAACAGGTCCCACAAGTATTTGGCTTGAAAGAACATTGGCGCAAGCTCGATGTGTCGGAGCCAGATTTTGACAGGGCCAATTACAAGAGTGCAGATATGAGCTCAACCCAGTTGCTGGCCAAGTTTAGGGAGGAAGAGAAGCTGGGCAGAATGAGACCCACAACGATGGGAGCGTTGCGTGAGGAGTACCCGGCAGACAAGATCAGGGTTGCATCGATGGGCGCCATTGAGAAACCAGACGGGTCTGTACGACCGATCCATGACGGGACGCATGGGGTCCTGGTGAATAATGGCGTCCGTCTTCTGAACCATGTTTCAGTGCCTGGTCCCGGCAGAAATGGCGTTTGCCGTGAGACAGGCAGGGGCACAACGGGAAGTCCCGCTGGCAGTGGCGGCCGACGTTAGCGCGGCCCACAGATTAGTTCGCGTCAGGGCCTGTGACCACGGGCTCCTTGCCTGCAGGTCAGACAACGATTCACCCACCATTTGGGTGAATCTGGTAGGTACTTTTGGTGTAAGTTCAGCATCGTTCTGGTGGGCCAGATTATTTGGGATAGTTGGCCGGACCGTGGCACGTTGCCTCTTGCAGCACCTATTCTATCAGTTCGCTTACGTAGACGCCCTTCGCAGCGATTTCTATGGTCGCAGGAAGCGACGTTCTTTGAGTGCTCGGAGAAGATAGTGCTTTATTGCGAAAAGGAAAAACTGATGGACA